GCTATGGGGGGCCGCTAACAGGCATAGGCCTATTGCAGGCAGAACAAGTCTTAAAACCCAGGGACCAGGGCATGCCCCGCCTTGGGGCTAAGTCCTTGCTGGGACTCTAGTTCACTGACTAACACTACTTAACCCCTACTTAGGGGTGGTCTACACTAGGTGGGCGGCTCGATGCAAGATACGCAACTTCAGCTATGGGAATAGCGTAGCTGAAGTCAACATATCTTATTTCGACTTACCTTGGGTCCTCACGGCGCGGGATCGACGGCCGCAGCTCCCCCGTCGACTCCGCTACCGCCGCTCCCCCTGGTGGAGTTCCGGAGTTGACGGGAGCGCGTTTGGGGATCGATATATTGCGTCTAGACAAGACGCGATATATTGATCCCCGATAGATCGATTACTACCCGCCGATTCGGCGGGTAGTCTGGACGTACCCTTACTGACTAACTACTGTAAACAAACTTTATATAAAGCTAACAATGATGAGAGAAAACTGCTATCCACTTCCAAGGCGAGGGGAAGGTGCTCCGACTGTCACAGGTGGTAAGAAGGGACTGAGAGGGCATAGGGCTGGCAGTGCCTAATATACCGATGCATGAGCACGCACTCCAGAGGGTGCCACTGCCAACCCTATGGATACTGCTAAGGCAAAAATCTCCAATGACTGTGCACATGGGAGAGGAACCCCTTATTACATCCTGGATGAGCACTCAAACGCTGGACTATTGGGAGCTCCACCACCATCTTTTGTACGTATCACACATACTCAGAGCATGCCTATAGATTGAGCCTCAAAGGCAAGATAGGTAGGGGAATGCCTAGTTTGTAAATCCCATAGGGGCTAACATGAATTTAGGTGCAAAGTAGTTGGGTAGCATAAGGACTCAGGTGGCTTTGTGTATGTCCACTGCCTGGAATGTAGGCACCTATACGATTAGATGGTAGCTGAGCAGTGGTTATGTGAATGTCAGTGGCATCTAAAAGTTGGACTTAGAAGCCTAAAGGAGGAGTTAGGCACCTAAGTTCTCTGTGAATCTAGCCCATAATGCTTTTTAATAAATAAATAAATAAATAAATAAAAGCTAAGATGCAGCAGGCCAGATCTGCCTAAACTGGCACAGGAACATCTATCCCGGTGACAGCTAGAGCCCCTATACCTCGGGGAAGAATTTACTTGAACAGTAAGTGGCTTTGTAGCCTGTCTGTAGTAACATTCAGTACCAAATACCTCAATTAATGCTAGCTGTAACAATTCTACTTTACATCAACAAACCACAGGTGAACTATTTTCTTATTACACACTATCACCACTGGAAAAAGGATGGTCTGATGATCTCAAAAATAGTAATGTCAGGTTTTCAGTTGAGAAGAGAAATTTTACTTTTTTAAATAGCATGTAGAAGTTAGCAAAATGGGCCGACTTTTAATGCACATTAAAAAGAGGGAGAAATAACCCATGATTAAGTCCAGGTGTATTCCTGGACTTGGAATTTGTGGTGGAATTCCCTCACTTACTACCAAATGATGCTTCAGAATCTGAGCTTTAATTATATATTTTTTAAAAAATGTTCCTAGCCCTTCTAATTGCAAGGAAAAACCTTCCAAAGGTGAACAGAACATAAATCAATAGTAACCTTTGAGTGTGCAGATAGCCCGAAATAAAAAGTGTGAGAAGTGAATGGGGTATTGACTTGGATACCTAATATTTTAACATTGGTCAGTATTATGCTTACATGTTAATGTGTTTATTCTGCACTCCCAAACCATTTCCTACGCTGCCCTTGGTGTCAAATGCCTCACATGTCCCCCACCTACTGTCAAATGCTTAACTTTGCCCCTGACAAGTTTAACAATTCAGTTGTGTGTTAATACAAAAATATGGCACACTGAAAACTGAAAGCCTAGTGGCAGGATAAAATTAACTTAAAAAGAATACTGTGTGCTTATTCATTTGCACATTTAAGTCAGGAATGCGTTCCCAGAATGGTATAGCATTTGGGTCTAGCTTGTTGCACAGTAGAAGGGCCTTTTATTCTGGTGCTCTGCCAGAGAGATTTGGGAGGTAGGATGCTCATATGATTTAGACATAGACATTGTCTCAAGAGATCTGGGTTCTATTCCCAGCTGTGTCACAGGATTTTTCTGTGAGAGCCTGGGGTCTGTGCCTCAGCGCCCATCTTGAAAGTGGGGATAATACTCCCTTCCTCACAGCCAGGCCTATTCAGATGGTCATCTCTTCAGAGTCTTTTACTGTTTGTCCAATACCTAGCACAATGGGGTCTTCAGCAGTTAGGGATCCCTGGAGTGCTACTGTAATGCAAATACTTAAGCCATCCCTTCATATTTGTGTGAAGGCCTCTATATGCAGTCAACTTCAGGTTACTATTCTTGTTGCCAGCAGCAAATAGTGTCAGTCATGAAGGTGTGCTAAACCATACAGTGTACTAAAACGCTTCTTATAAAATGGATTGCCCTTGTAAAACACACTACAGTGGGATTCACCCTCTTTTGGGCCAATGGTTTTCTTTGAAAGGGTTGCATTAGAAGTAGATGTTGACCTACCTACAAGATGTGCAGAAACAGATTCTCCCATATCTGACTGCACAACAGAAGGTAAAGCACATGCACTGAATTAAGAGGGAGCAGATGAGGGATAGTGAAGTTGCAAGCTTGTTTCCCAGTGGCTGGACACCTCTGATATATAATGGAAGCATGTATCCTGAATGATGTGGTGAAACCTTAGAGAAAGCTCACTTGTGGGAGGAAATTCTTGTGATGTTAGGCTACGTCTACAATATGAGCTAAGGGAGTCATTCCCCAGCTTGTGTACACATGTTAATGCTAGCTCAAGTATAAATAACAATGTAGCCATGGCAGCATAGGTAGCAGCAGCACTGCTTAGGCATGTCATGTACAAGCCTGCCTGAAACGGTGGGTACCAACTTAGGACAGCTAAGCCATGCCTTTGCTGACGCCACCTGTGCTACCATGGCTATGCTGGTATTTATACTTGCGCTAGCTCAGTGAGAACTAGCGTATGTATACACGAGCAAGGGAATCACACAGTCTGAGCTCACAGTGTAGGTACAACTGAAGCCCAAATTTAATTACTGCACACACAAACTGCTCCTATGACCACACCAAATGGCATGTCAATTGCATAAGCAGAAATTCTCTAACCACTTAACCCCTGCTTATTTGCAAGTCTTCCCCATTCAAAGTGGTTTGTTTGGCAGTTGAAAAAATAAGATGCAGGACCTGAGTATCACAAAGGTTTCGGAGTCTAACAATGTAGAGTAATTGACAAGCAGCATTTTTGGATTAATTTTTTTTTGAGGTTTTTAGCACAGTGTTTTCATCCTGTGCAAGTTTATTGTTGGGAGCACACAGGCACTGGTCTTAGAGCATGCTCCATTCACATCCTTAAAAAAATATCTATGTGAGCTACCTTTCCATGTTATACTGACATAGAAAGGAGAGGTCTTCACAGTTTCCTGTAACCCAAGGCCTGTAGTCAAAAAAGGGGAGAATCTGTCCTTGTTCTGAATCAGGATTTTGGCAATAGCTGCTGATAAAATATACTGTCAAGACTTGCAGAAGTAGGGCTCTCAATGACTATAAAATATTCCAAGCAGAACACAAACACCACACGACTTTGGTGGTGTATATGAATGCAAATATCTTGATATACTTGGAAAGGCAGCACACAGACAACCTCACTATGTACTGAAAAATTTGACTAAAAAGTGTCTGATGTAGAACACTCCACACGAAAATTTAAATTTTGTAGTAATTTAACTGTGACTCATGAAGTTTTGAATCAAATATGTTTAACTTTATTTAAACAAAGTTCTTTCCCAAATATAGCACTGTAGTCTTTGTAGCAGCAACCAAAAAAAGACATTATAAAACAACCCAGAATACAAAAAAAGTGTTTTCAAAACACAATTAGCCTTTCTAAAAAGTCCTGGAGTACACAGTAATGGTTCAAATGTTATAAAAAAGTTACAATAAATTATGTCACCCTCCCTCAGTTGTTGTGTTCCAAGTGATTGGTGTTATGTTTGTACCCTCATCTGTGTTTACTGCAAACCTGCACATAACTTTAAGGTGGAGATTTTCAAAAGCTCCTAGGGGAATTTAAGTACATAAGTTCAGTTGTATCTCAATGGGACTTGTACAACTAAAATCCTTTAAGCATTTCTGAAAAATCAAAGTTTAAATTATAGTAATTGATAAGTAAACCAATAATTTAGAGATCATGCTTCAGAACGTTCACGTTGTTATTGTTGGTATACGGTGGGGGAGAAGGGGTCAAAATTTTGGTTAGTTCACCCTCCCCCCCCCGCTATTTAAAATCTCTCCTAGATCTCTTCAAACTAGTAGTCTTTAGCCCAGTGGTGGGAAACCTGCAGCCTGTCAGGGTAATCCGCTGGTGGGCCGCGTGACAGTTTATTTACATTGTTTACATAGCACATCCCTGAGGCCCGCGCTGCTTCCTGCAGCTCCCATTGGCCAGGAACGGTGAACCGTGGCCACTGGGAGGTGCGGGCGGCTATGCCTGCGGATGGTCAATGTAAACAAACTGTCTCGCGGGCCGCCAGCGGATTACCCTGACGGGCTGCAGGTTGCCCACCACTGCTTTAGCCCCTTGGCTGCATACAGTATGTGAAAGGTAGCAAAGTCTAAAACGAGATGTGAATTAATCATAAGAAAAACCTCATCCATAACAGTCAAACCTACATATACTTACAGATCGAATGCATTAATCAAACTGTATTTGAGGTGAATATCTCTTTTTGGAAAATGGACTATTAAGGGACGATTAAGAATTGGTTTCAAGGAATGGTTAACCAAAGAAAGTTTTAGTATATAAATATAGGATGTACTTAATTATTTTAATAATAAGTACTTAGTATAGCTCAAAACCAAGAATTCCTTAATACATTAACTATTTAGCTTTTAAATATATTTAAAATATTACCTCTTTCAAGATATTTCTAACAAAATTAAATTTACTTTATCGAGATTATATTAAAAAAGTTCCTACATTCTCATAATGCTCAGCAATCTTTTGAGAGAAATGGAGTGTTTAGATTTTCAGGGGACTGAGGAAAGTGTAAGGCCTTTACGAAAGAGGGGGGGGGGGAAATCAATATAAAATACTGCTGTACAATAATGATATTCAATTTAAAACAGTACTATAAGTAGAGTTTGTACTCTTTACATATGGTGTATGTCATTTAGTAATTCCAAAATTCATCATTCTTCCCCTCACCAGAGCTACATGATTCTGGAATGACCGTGTTAATAATCAAAGTTTCAAATCCATCAATGGTTGAGCCATAAACAGCTGGAACCTTTGAGTGGATGCCAAGATACCATACAGTGGAAAACATTTTTTTCATAATGTCAGGATACAAATATCCAAATCAGCAGTTTAATTCAGTACAGACTGTGCAGCTTCCCTGATAATCGATGCAGCTTTATCCAATTCTTCTTCTGTTTGTTCCACTGTTACCACTACTCGAATACTGAAAAAAGAAAACCAGAAGAGTTGGCTCTTGTAATGGCTATGACACTTATTCCTTGCTTTGTTTCTTCTGTACCAGTTTTAATTTATAATCAGAATTGTTGGGTGGAAAACTTGGTTCACACCAATTTAACAAGCTTTAATGTAAGAATTTTAGAATATACTACCACCTTAATTAAAACATAGTATAAATGCGTAAATAAAACAAAGAAGAAAAGGGCAGTGATCAGTTACCTGATCACTGGGTGCAGGAAGGCTGTTTCTTTCATTACCAGATCCAGACTGGTTTGAGAGAGTGAGAGTGTGAGTCTGTCTGTCTGGAGTTGCTTTGATTTTTTTTAACGCTTATATAACCTGTACATTTGTGCATGCTCATACCTAACCACTTATTTCCCTTGTCATAGCTTATATATTTCATGCTATGTACATACTACATTTTTATATAAAAACACCCTTCTAATTGTTCCTTCATATCAATTACATGCAGATCACGCATATCAACAGTATCATTTTGCCCATTCACCCCATTCATACGTTTGCTATTTTTCCTCAACTTATCTACTTTGCTGTCTGGAATACTTGTTCCTGACGTTTGGGGTCTAAGGTACTTTGTTCTTCTTAAAACAACCTGTTTAACTTTTAGCAAGCATCTGTTTTTCTTAACTTTTAGTTAAGACCAGGGCCGACGAGGGGGGTGGGGGGGGGGAAGAGAGCTGGTACTAATTACCGGGACCCGGCGGTTCGGAAGGGGGCCCGGCTTCCCCCCCCCCGCCCCCGTCGGCCCTGTTTAGCTGGTCCGCCCTTGCTGGGGGGCCCGAAAAAATTCCAGGCCCGGCTTCCCGCCCCCCTCTAGTCAGCCCTGTTTAGCCAGTCTGCCCTTGCTGGGGGGCCCGAAAAATTTTTTTCACGGGGGCCCGAACCCACTCTCGGCGGCCCTGGTTAAGACACAATCTGACAGTTTAGAACATCTGGTCTAATAAACAAGATTATGTTGAACTGAGTAACTAAATTTTCCATTCTTAATAAATGTTACATAGATTATTCAAGGTTGCTAAGGGTTTGGTTCATTTAATGATAAGTCCTTAACTTAACGGGCCCCTCATCCTAATAGACTAAAGCATAGCCTTAACTCTTACTCAATTTATGTAACTAATATAGGGTAACCAGATGTCCTGATTTTATAGGAACAGTCCCAATATTCAGGGCTTTTTCTTATATTAGGCACCTGTTACCCCCCACCCCTTGTCCCGATTTTTCACACTTGCTATCTGGTCTCATCCTAAACTAATATGACCCTCACTTAATATTTTGATTCTCCAGCAGAGTGAAGGCAATGTCTGGGCCATGAACTCAGGCACAACGACAAGTAAGATATATGGCAAGATAGAGAACTTGTGAAGCAATGGCTCTCTAGCAAAGCAAATAGTCATACTATCTCTTTCCAATTAGGCATTGAGCATGTCACTTGCCTACCACACACCATCCTATTCCCACATTTAGATGTACTTTCAAGTTCAATGGGCCTCTTATGAAAACTTGCGTGATAAGCAGCCAGGGTAGTAGTGAAAACAATACAATGCTGATATTGAAGATTCAGTTTACTTTGATACATTATCTTGTAAATAAACCATTATAACATGCCATAATACCCATTTAAAATTTATTGTAAGCAGCATATTTCCCATTCCTCACCTGGCAAACTATTAAAAGGCCTAAAACAGACAACTTTGTTTTTATAAAAGTCAGATGGTTTTCCTCATACAAGAGGGATAAAAAGAAACAGAGGTTTCTGAATTTCCACTCACCTCGGCGGCGGAAGACATTTCTCTTCCTTCTCCAGATAGCGGGCCTGAGTTAATGCAATACTTCTATTCATACACTGCAGACATATAAATAAGCAGTTATGCAACTGGGAACTTCAATACCACATTATCATTACATTCTATGAACAGTGGTTATTCAATGTCTGGAAGACAAACGTGGCAGAATCTCATACAGCACAGTCGGAGCAGAAAGAGAAGTATACATCAAAACCAACACCAAGTCCAGTATCAGAAGAGAATTATTAGCATTTCCCTAATTGGCTGTCATTAAGAAACATTCCTGCACACAAAGCATCCTTTAAAAGTTTAAAATTTTAGAAACTCATTTGAGGCTTTTTAAAATATAGGTGGCTGTATTATACTAGAACAATAGAGATAAGGGGGGAGGTTTGACATTTCCTTCTACAGCTTCTGACCAGCTTTTGGGAGTGGTGAAGTTGGTTTTTAGAGAAGGAGGCCTGAAATGGAGTATGATGATGACTGCTCTCCGAGGTATTTTATAAGTCAGTAGGAGTTCTTACATATACATATAACAAACAGGGAAGGCTAAGGATAAGCTTCTTTAATTTCACATTTGTCTAAGTTCAGCTCAAAAATGTTACTTCAAATACGATTACATTGCCTATTTACAGAATAGTGATATTTAAAATAAAAAGGACTAAAGCAATCCAGCTATGTCTGTTGAGTATCTCTGCTTTGCTTCTATGGACCAGCATTTCTCTCTATCCTAGGATGCTTCATAAATTGTTGACCTTGGTTAATATATGCTGACTACACGTCAGTATCTAGTAACCCTGTCTGTAGAAGTCGTTGCTGCTGGAAGTCAATACAACTATTGTGGCTAGATTTAAGAGAGGACTGATTAACTTTATGACTTAACATTTGTAGCTATGCTGGCAGAGAATAAGGTAACTGCAGTCTTTAAGGAATAAAAAGTTATTGTAGGTTATATATACCATGAGCATTATCTTATTCTTTAATAAAGACTCCCATGGAAAACAGAAGAGCGAGATCCTCAGCATAATGGCTCTACATTATTCAACTTGTACTAAAACCACCAAGGCAGGCAGTTACTGGGCACATATAGAAAACTGTTTAATATGAACGGTGACATTTAAAAGGTTTCTTAAAACAGAAGAGCACCTCTTTCAAAGAGTTACATTCTTCAAATTTGGATGAGTTAGATGAGCTCAAGCACAAAACAAGTACTATCATCCTCCCCTCACCCCAAAATGCACAAGACACATCACTCATCTATAACATACTTATACACTTCTCAAATTGGGTGTCTTGAGAAGTAGTGTATACTGATGATGGAAAGTACTTTAAGTGCTAAACATTATAACAGTCTGCCAAATAAGAATATGTTCATGGACTCAGATGTAAAATTCCATCCTGTAAAAACAAACACTTTATAAAAAAATACAGCAGCTGAAGCTCAAGTGGTTCAGTACAGCAACAAAACTCTACTCAAAGAATAGCCTGCATTTCTATAAATCTCAGAAAAAAGTCCCCTCTAATCTGTTCATACACATCCATTCTCTTAAGTTAAAGAGAAACTTGTGTTTTAATGTGTCTATGACATGGATTAATGTTGTCCAGTATCAAGGTCAAATATTTTATTGATGATCAAAATCAAAGGAAGATGGGGAGGGAGACTGCCACTGTGGGGTGGATGATAAAGGAGACTTTTGCAGCTGGGGAAGTGAGTTTTTAAAAATATAGAGATATCTTTATCTCATAGAACTGGAAGGGACCCTTAAAGGTCATTGAGTTCAGCCGCCTGCCTTCACAAGCAGGACCAAGTGCTGATTTTGCCCCAGATCCCTAAGTGGCCCCCTCAAGGACTGAACTCACAACCCCTAGGTTTAGCACGCCAATGCTCAAACTATTGAGCGATCTTCCTCACCCCACTCCTGTGATTGTTTTTTTGTTTGTTTGTTTTTTACACCATTTCCTCTATATTACCATCTCACTTACATTTTCAAAAAGTGAGCACAGGCCTCTGCTGTTTTCCCTATTCAATTTCTATTTTCCAAATGGGGTCTGGAACACTCCAGTACACTAATTCAGCCAACTACCATGCCAGGACTTTGCACAAAATTATTGCTTTTCTAATAATTAAAGGGCAGATATGCTTTAATTGCAAAAGGGACACTTACATAATCTACAATTCTCTTGAGTAACTTCATATCATTCTCTCGAGATCCACTGGTCTCTTCCAACTGAAGGTGTAATGCTGGAGAAAATAAGTCTCCCACAACTATTAGACCAGAGATTCTGAAACAAATCAAATAGTTTCAGTGTACATCTGATCAGAATAAAGAAGCAAAGTGTATAAACAGACAGTGAAAAGATGCTATTTAAAGGCTTGCTCATTTTTTGGTGGTATTTCAGGAAAACTTTCTAAATTGTTTTACATTGGGAGTATTTGTTACAAAACAAATTTGGACTCAAACAAAGCTTTACACCTTTGAACTGCTGTATACCAGCAATCACAATACAAAATTTAAACTATGTAGCCATGAATTACTCATGAGAACATTTAATTATTGACCAAATCAAACAACCCACTCCACATTGTTTCTTCCACATAGAATGCTTATTCCTGGTGAATCCGGGCAAGATAGATGATTTATTTTAATTCAGTTTTATTGCTTTATACAATTCCTATCCGTATATTCTTCATCTGCGTTCCTCTGCTTTCCCCCCTCCATAATTTTAACTTTAATAGCTTGTCCTGCTCAAAAAGAAAATTTACAAATCAAATGGGGAACCAGTTGTCTGCCATAGCCAATGTTAATTTTTAAATAAGATTTCATATCAATTGAATGCCCTTACTTTAGAGTTCCTTAAGGTTTGTAATACACAAACCTAACATAACTCATTCCTTGATTTTCAAGACTCTGATCCTTTCAAGTCTTAACCCCTCCCCCCCGCCCAAAAAAATCCACTTGAGGCAAGATGTTTAAGTGCAATATGTTTTACCAATAAAAAAGAAGACACCTAGACACCCAAATCATAATTTAGAATCAGTAGGGGGAGGGGGGGGGGAAGAATCACCTTCTCTGATGCAGAGTTGTAAATTCCCTATCAAGAAAGGTAATCAATATTGAGATAGGATGAAAAAAGCCAATCCTTTGCTCCCAAATATTAACAGCATATCATGTACATGCACTATTCTGCTGCTGTCAACCTTAACTTAGATTTCCTGACTTTGGTCAGTTTGTATTACACACAATGTGTTGTAAATGTATAAAGTATTTTTTATCCCCATATCAGTTTCCTATAAAAAAAAGGAAGCAAAAAGTTAGGGTCTCTTCAGAAAACACAAGTTGTCAAATCCATGGGAAAAACAGAGTGCCACAGACATAATGAATAATGGAAAGAGATGTTTTAAGGTCTGAAATATGCCTTGTATTTCCACAAAGCTCTACTGATTTAGAGCCCAGTTCTGAAAGGGAACTGAAACTGGCCTTCAATCTTTGCAGCAACAAAACTGCACTCACAATTGGTGTCATGTAGATATAAAATCTGAGGTTGCTTCTAAAAAGAGAGTCATGCAGTTAAAGAGCAAATGTTTAAATATTGGCATATATCTTTAGAAATCATGGGGAAGACAATATGTGGCAACATATGGAGCCATGAGAAGCAGTCTGAGGTCATTCTGCAATGTAGAATCACAAATGGAATATATAGCATGACAGATGTCAGTCATTAAGTATGTTCCATGTTAGTGACCTGATATTATAGAAGCACAATTCTAGAAATTAACAGGCAGGCACTGTAGTCAGACATGTTACCATACAGCTTAAATTAATAGATACAAAGGTTTCCTTGCAGCAAATAATGTTCTCTTCGTTTTAACACAAAAGTATATATCTGCTAGAACTTAATGAACAATACTTGCTACTAACGAGATTTTCTTTTTAAAAGGATGTGCATCAATATATTAATGATATCAGTAGCTAATTACATAATATGAAGTCATTTTAATTTAAACTAGGTAAAGCATTCATGAACAGCCTCAAAAAGAAAGGAGGGGAGGGCAGGAGAGGTTGGGTAAGAGTTCATGTATTTTAAACCAGGAAACAGCCTTTGTATCACTGTCAATTCAAACTCTGAATCTCACTGACTTTGTCCAGACAACAATGCTTTGTATTAACTATACATCCTCCACTTAGAGGCTGCTTTGCAAAGCCCAAATTGATGTCTAATTTGAAGTTCTGTCAGTTACAACTCTAGTTAAATAAACCCTAATCTGACTCAAGCAGCTGTCTAACCAAGGATAAACAATAAGAAATGCAAAAGAGCCAGTTCAGCATAGCTTTGTCAGAGAAAGGGACATTCAGTGTGTGAAAGAAACAAAGGTTGGCTCTGCTTTTCTTGCAAGCTTTGGTTAAGTGAAATAACATTTGCGAGTCCACAGCATGCACAGAGTAGTAACATCCCACCCTCCCCACCCCCGATCTTAACTTTTCCAGTGAAGCAGCTAAATTATGGAACCTTGCATAAAAGTGTTTTCCACCTCTAATCACTGCCATTCATCCATTTTTTAAATAGGATAAAAATGCATACTATTTAAAGACAATATTGCATAGGAATCTCATCCAATGTCTTGTCTGTTACCTCAAGAAAAGGCAAAAGAAACTTTGGAGCAGAGAGTGATGGAATAACTTTACTATAGGGTTTAGGAAGAATTACATCCTCCTCCACTCATTAGCTAATGGTTGGCTTGTGCCCTGAAGCATGAGGCCTTATATATACTTACCTCCTTATTTTATCATAAATAAAGGTAAATGTGGATTTTCTCATTATCCTTATGAAGATCTAAACCTATTCTGAATTCTATTAAGCTCTCGGTATCAGTGGTATCTTGTGACACTGAATTTCAAAGTGCCTACTTGTGCACTGTGTAAAAAAGGATTTTTTGCTGGTTTTAAATTTGCTGCCTTTCAATTTGCTTGTTTTTGTGTTGTGAAAAGGAGGAAAATCACACACTCCTTTTACCTTTCATTATTTTAAACAGTTCTATTGTACTTTTCACCTCTAAAAACTTATATCCATTCTTTTTAATCTTAGTTAACTGTGCTTAATATGAGAGAGAGAGAGAGAGAGGAAAATCAGAAGTAAATACCATATTCCAGACGAAGGCACTATTGATTTATAATGGCAGAATACATTCTGCATTTTCTATATACTTTTTTTTTTTTTTTTTAAATACATCCTTTTTTTTTGCGCTATTTTGGCAGTCACTGCATGTTTTCTAAAGTGATTATTAATTTAAAATCCAGCAATATGCAAGAGTAGTTCAAATTATTCCTTCTAATGTGCTTTTACATTTGTCAGGGAATTTTATCTACCATTGAGTTGCCCACAACTAGCACCAGTCTTTCAGTCTTCTCTAGTGCTGCCAAACTTAAATAATTGTGTCCTCTACAAGTTTTGCCATCAGACACTTGCTCAAGCACTTATCAAGAAGATAAGAATGTAAGAAAGGCCATACCGGGTCAGACCAATGGTCCATCTAGCCCAGTATCCTGTCTTCCATAAATTGCAGGTGCCAGATGCTTCAGATGGAATGAACAGAACAGGGTAATTTCAAGTGATCCACTGCCTGTCATCCAGTCCCAGCTTCTGGCAGTTAGGGACACCAAGAGCATGGAATTGCGTCCCTGACCATCTTGGCTAAAGCCATTGATGGGCCTATCCTTCATGAACATATTAAATTCTTTTTTGAACCCACTTCTACTTTTGGCCAACACAACATCCCTTGGCAATGAGGTCGACAGCTTGACTGTGTGTTGTGTGAAGTAGTACTTCCTTATGTTTGTTTTAAACCTGCTGCCTATTAATATCATTGGGTGAGCCCTGGCTCTTGTGTTATCTGAAGGGGTAAATAACACTTCTCTATTCACTTTCTTTGCACCATTCATGTTTTTATAGATCATCATATACTGTCTCCTCCACACATACACACCCATCGTCTCTCTTTTCTAAGCTGAACAGACCCTGTCTTTTTAAAACTTTTTTTCATACCGAGGCGGTTCCATTCCCCTAATAATTTTTGTTGACATTCTCTGTACTTTTTCCAATTCTATTATATTTTTTTGAGATTGGGTGACCAGAATTCCATGCAGTATTCAAGGTGTGGGTGTACCATGTGCCACACACACACACTTTGAATACTGCTGGCATGCTATATATATATATATATATACACATACACACACACACACACACACACACACACACAAAAATGGTTCCAAACATTGTTAGCTTTTTTGACAGGGATATTAAATACCAGTCCTAGTACAGAATCTTGAGGCACCCCACTGTTATCCATTTGTCAGATTGAAACTTGACCATTTGTTAATCCTACTCATTTTCAATTTTGCCCAGTTTCTAAACCATGACAGTACTTGTCTCACCCTGTGCTTAATTTTCCATAATGTCCTCTTTTGACGATTCTGTCCAAGGCATTTTGATAGTTAAAATAAATTGATATCCAGCTCTTAGACACTTGTTGTAGACACCAAGAGTTCTAATAAATTAGAGGTGCACATTTTCTCCTTACACATGGTTTGTCCCTATCACTTTCATCTACGTTTGTAAATATCTTTATAACCAATTTTCCTCAATACTGAAGTAAGGCGCTTGTCTGTATTTCTCAAGATTATTACTAACAGCTTTTTAAAAGGTAAATTCAAAGTTTCCAGTATAGTAGCTGATTTTAATGAGATTTTGTTACTAACAGTTTATCTATGTGACATTCAAACTTCTAGTATGTTCAGAGTGAATCTGTTTGAGTCTGCTATTGTTCCTCTACCTACACTCAATTTCTTAAAGAAAAAGTTTATATGGACCCTACATTAATACCTAAAAATATACTACAGAAGAATAGCACAGTTACATATCTGCTACGACCATTTTAACCTCAGTTACAAGTTTCAATCATCAATTATTTAGTGCCCCTCCCTTAAACTTAAATACTCTTACAACTAATTATATCAAGCAACTAGACATTGAGACCAAACAAACATCGTTATTGGCACAGAATGCACAATTCAAGAAGACCAGACTGTTCTGGACTACTTACATCACCTTACAATGAAAGCCTTAAGCAACAACTGACTTCATTTCTTTATCAGAACCATTAGGAAAAAAAAAAAACCTTTCTAGATTACAAAACTAACCACTAAAAGGCTATCAGAAAGAATACAGATAAAGCAAATACTTTTGTGAAATAAAAAGATGATTGTAATTGCTTGACCACTGCTAAAAATTAGTTGTCATTAAAACTGGCTTATAGATTACTGCAATAACTGACAATTTTAAGAAACTTTAATCTGAAATAGAAACTGAATTGGAACTATAGGAGCAGGTACGTATTTATTCTGAAAATTAGTCAATTGACTATAAACACAAAGTATTGAATCTAAAACACTTACTGTATTATCAAAAATCTGTTGCCAGAAAAGTTATATTAAAAACTCAATGTACAGACGCTCCTCGGGTTACGCAAGACCCGACTTACGCAAATTCGCACTTACAGAAAAAGTTCATAAGCCAGAAATAGGATTCTCGAGTTGCGGAAATTTTTGCGTAACGTACGGGTATACGTTTCCGACGTACGCAAAATTGGAGTTATGCAAAGCTTTCCGGAACTAAACAGGGCGTCTGTAACTATAGAGGATATTATATTCATGATACTTCGTGATATGGATCTATAAAAAGCTGAGCAAGTTGACAATAGTCAAGATCAAATAGTTTACCTTTGTAAAGCTTTATGAATCCGTTTGCATTTCTCTCGTAAAATCTGAAAAATGTCTAGACAAAAGAAAAAAGAGCCTCAGTCTCTTGCTACATATTTCTATAAATCCCAAATAAACTTTGAGCCTCTCTACCTCTTCTTACAATGATCCTCATTCCTAAGAGAATACCATTTCCATCATGAAGTGACAAATGTGTTCTTTCCCCCCATACTGTTATTCCAGTGGAGTAGTTTCTGTTTAGAACTCTTTTTTGTGAGAGCCGATAAAAGGACAACACATGGAGAATCAAGAAACTATAGGCTGAAGGAATATAATTGGAAAGTAAGAATGGGCTTGAACCTTTGATAACTATGTCCCCCTTTTTTCCTTACTTTACCTTGAAAATTACCAAATATGTTCTGGTCAAATGGGAAGAAGGAAAATCAGTAGGACATTTGTTTGTAGTGAACAACAACAGTTTTTAATGAAGTGTTCAGTGTCTCCCTTCTCTGGCTCTTTCCATCTCCACTTCTCTTTTTCACTGTGTGTGAAAAAGGAAGGGGGGGGGGGCAAGAGATGTATGGTGGGAAGAGACAGTGGGAGGGAAAGTTAAAGGGAGAATGAGTGAAAAGGAGATAATGAATGTAAGATGTGGAAAGAGTCAGTGGAAAGGGAGCAGCGAGAATCAACGAATGAAAGGAAAAAGTAAATGAGGAAGCGCTAGACTAAGAGGGTGAGGGATGGAAGTGGGGGAAATTATGCCCACAGGCTTTAATCTTGAGCTCAAACAGTTAGTGTTCCCTCGGAGCAGAATAACTTGTCACATTACAAAGTATTTGATTTTTCAGAATGAAATACCTGGATTCTCCTCCATGATATTGAGGGCCTCGATAGCAGCAGCAGCTAGTAGGGGAGGCAGAGAGGCTGAAAAGCAGTAACCCTGACCTGACAATCTCTGAGAAAGAAAATGAAAAGTCATAAACAAAGCTGAAAAGTTTTTATATCAGTTTTGCTTGTTCACGATAGTACAGAAAAAAATCTTAAAAGTCATTTGGTTTAAATTAAGCAAAAATCATAACTGAACAGTCTCTAACTCATCCACATAATCTTTTTGAAGTGGTCTTCTAAATGGAATAAATTCCTATGTAAATCATTTATATCAAGATGCAGCTTGTAAACAGAAGTCAAGTCACTGTCATTTCTTAGTAATTCAGTCTGCTCTGCCATTTAAAAATAAGAGGTGGCATACCTGATGGTCAATAACAAAAGATCTTCCACAGCAAAATCCTCCAATAGAAGCCAGGGAATTCTCCATGTTTGCACTAATCAGATCTATATCGTCCACCTGCCATTCAATTAACAGAATATATTATGAGAGAGGAACAAGGTGGATGGAAGTGAAGTGAAGCTTAATTAAATCAAGATCATTTACAATATATAAACTACGCTTCAAATTAACATATGTACTAGGGCAAAATACACCAGGTTACCCCCCGCCCCCACACACAGTTTTAAAGCTCCTTGTTTGTATCACTTTAACACAGTTATAGCTGAACTGCCTCCATTTTAATTTTAAACTATGTTTATAAGGATCCAAATATATTTCACTTAAATGTTTTCAGGTATTGCAACATATGCAGCATGTAAAAATAAAATTATGCATTTGTAGGCCCCAATCTAGCAAAGTACTTTGGTACCTGATCTATTTTAAGCATGTGAGTTGTCCCAATTAAGTCAATGGGACTGAATGTGATTTAAGTTACTCCTGGGGGGATTCTGTGCCGATGCAGGGGTGCAGAATTCATATGGCCCGCATTTTTCTGTGCCCCCCATGCAGAAAAATGCAAAAAAAATCTGCCAGGGGACACGTGTCTCTTCCCCAGCAGCCCAAGCAGCGCATTTGTTCCAGCATGCCTGGAGCTGGCTCAGAGATGGGGGCTTGGTATATGTGCATGCATGCCTGCGTGATCATCGTGGGGGGGGGGGGGGGGGGGGGGGGGAGGGGACGGGCCTGAGCGCATGTGTGTGCTAGTGACTATACTCCTGGGGGGATTCTGCAGGACTGCATGCCTGCACCAGAAAACACCCCGCCACACACACACACACACACACACACACACACACATCCTGCTTTTCCCTGCAGAAAATGGCAAGGAAGCCTCACAGGGTGCATGACCATGTGTGCAGTTTTTGGTTTTTTTTTTTGGGGGGGGGGGGGGGAAGAGGGAGTGTCCCCCCAACAGGAGGGGGGGCTGGGGGGGGGGGGCACACAAGGTTATGTGCCACTGCCCCTCTCGGAGGCGGTCTCGGGCTCCGCAGCTGAATGCAGCCTCCTGGGCCAGTTGTGCTTCCCTTCTGTGTTCTGGGAGCCTTCCTATTTTCTGTGGAACAGTGAGTTCCCATGGTGGGAGTGAGGAAGGAAGGGGGGTGGAATAGGGCGGGGGGGGGAATGTGGGAATGAGGGGAGGGGGATGGAGAAGAAAAAGGGATAAGGGAATCACGGGGGGGTGGGGGGGGAGATCCCAGCAGGTGGCATCCCCACAGCAGCAGCTGGGGCTCCCCCATTAAGCAGGCCCATCGAACCCTCACCCTGACAAGCCCTACCCCCCCACACCTGGATCCCTCTGACAAGCCCCCCAGCACCCAGACCCCCCCACATCCAGACCCTCCCGCCAAGCCCTATCTACCCTCACCCCCTGCTGAGACCAACCACTATCACCTGAATCCCCTGCAGAGTCCCATTGCACTTGCACCCAGAACCCCGAGTCCGTGCATCCAAATCTCCCACTGAGCTGCCTACATCCAGATTGCCCCACACAGAACCTCTCACCCCACACCTGGATCCCCCCACACTAAGCCCCTCCACACTTGAATCCTGCTGGCTGAGCCTGCCTACCCACACCTGGTGCACCTGGCCCAGAGGGGCAGGGCCCCGGGTGTTTCTGCGGCAGGCCCAGCCCTTGCACTGCCAGGGTCAGATGCAGCCTCACTGCTGAGTCCCTGTACTGGGGGAGGTGGGGGCTTCAGGGTGATCTCCCACCTCAGTGCAGCCAGTGGCCTGTGCTCTCCACTGCCATGTTGGAGCCACATGTATTTATTGACAAATAAAATTTGCAGAATTTTAAAATATTGGGTGCATAATTTTTTATTTTTTGGCACATAATTCCCTCAGGAGTATTTAAGTACATGCTTAACTGGAGTTGGCTTTGGATCCTAGAAATACCTAAGTGTCCCATTAACTCATTGGTTGCAAACAAGTTCTCTTTTTGTGAAGTGTGCAATGCAGCACATAGAAAGAAATGGTCTTTACCACAAAGAGCTTTAATTCTACATAGACAAGACAGACAAAGACCCGGGATGGGCAAAGGGATTTTACAATAAGCCAAGCAATCAAATGATGCTTGGCAAACATCATGGTAGTTCCACTTGCACTTTGTTTCTTCAAATTGGTTTTTTGTTTTGTTCCAAATATATTATGTGGGTTGGAGGAGTTAGAGCAAATGAGCAGGAAACAAAGGCAGGAGAAGTGGAGAAGAGATGGGAGCATGGAAGGCAGGGAGTGCAATGCTGGCAGGGGAGGGAGAGATCAGCAGAGAAAAAAGGATGCCAGAAGTCAGATAGAAGGAGACAGAATTTGACATTTCCAATGATCAGGAGGTTGTGAAAGTCGCTTCTGCTGAGGAACCACTGCCTCCAATGTGCACTTTTCTTCCTTCCCCAGCCCATGGCAGATAAAGAAAAGGGCCCCTTGTGGCATCACTATACAGGTCATGCCAAACCAATGTTCCCAAGCATAGGGGACCTGCTGAATCTGTGAGCACCGGGAAGTCCGACCACTACGAGCAGGGCTATGGCTAAAACCTATCTATAGAAAGTCTGACTCCATATGCCAACCACCCTGTGCCCCACCGAAGGAGAGTGAGGAATGGGGGAACAGCACATGGAGAGGGACTTTTGTGACCTTCCCCACCAGAATATTTTTGTGTTAATGTAAAATTTTGAGTTTGTGGTGGTGTAGGTACAGGGAGCAAAAAAGTGCCTGGGCCCAATTTATAAACTGAATGGACTTAATTTATCTTGAAAAAAATGGAAAGTATTTTTAGAGACTAAATTCAGTGAACTGTCAAATAGAGAGAAGTAAATTATGCTTTCAGTGAAAACTGAAATACAACCTTAACTGTGGAGACACCTCCACAGTACTTTTCACTTTAGCTTTAAGATACCCTCTTTCAAGTCCATGTCTTGGTGTACTGAAGTGTGCCATGCCTGAGTACAGGCTAAAACAGAGATATTGGTACCTAAACACAGTATGATACAAATGTCTTTGGAGAAGTTACAATAAGTTGTCCTCATCTGTAGCATGGTGATATTTAATATTCATGCACTTTAAAAACATTCTTTCATGTAAGCAGGATTGATTATTTTTAAACAGTATTTCTTTCCCACTTAACATTTTGTTTAAGAGCAAAAGTATTCTACTGCATTTAAAATGAAGACATCTCTACTATCACACATGCAGGCTCACATTACTATGTAAACTGAAGAGTCTGTTGCCACATGTGTGTGAGCAGAGTATTGGACTAAAGACTCCCCAGTGCCAAATGTATTCCACCTCCAACCCCAAGTACAATGTCCTCATAGGAAAAAAACAGCATATCATATTCACTATTCCTCCCCTCCATTCTAACAAGAGATGTAAATAAACCAGTTTTTATTAAGACTTTTCCTAAAAGTCTTCACTCTTCAGAGAACTTTGTGCAAAATTCAAATCCAAAGTGAATGTTAATGGCAGATGATAAAAGAGGTCTTGTAAAGAGGAACAGTGCCAACTCCACCCACCCCCAATGTTGCTATTTAAACTAAAAAATTAAGTGGTTGTGTTTTCTATTAAACAAAAAGATCAGTATAGTAATTGGATAGCCAAATTGACTTAAAATTCCTACCATACACAGATGAACACTCTTAAAATCTGTAGTACTGTCATTGCCAAAAATATACAAGAAAACCAGTATCAGAACTTGCCCCAGTCTACAACTCTCTTGCTAACACATAATAGTCCCAATGAAAGAAAAAAAAGCCTGGCACTTACATTTATTCCAAAGTGTTCCGTAACACCTCGTCCATGTTCTCCAAGGACTCCAAAAGAAAGACTTTCCTCCAAAAAAATCCTCACTTTATATTTATATTTCAATTTTATCTGCAGATTTAATAGTATAAATGATACAAGACAATCTAATATTACTGACATTTTTGCAAAGAAATAAGGTACATGTACAAAAGATTGAAAAATCACATGGAAGATCTTATAAAGTATCCTGAATAATGTAAGACTGTTAATCCCACTATAATACTCAGCCATTTTGTGTGTTTTAGAGTCCTGAACACCATTGCCATGTTTAACGCTTAAAATAAGTATAGGAAATCTAAAATGCCCATAGTCATTTATGAGACGTAACTTGGCTTTTCTTTTTAAGAAACAGGCTATAAAATACTTTAAAATATTACATAAGATATTCACAGCATTTTCCCCATCATCATCAGGAACAGTGTTGTACACAAAATCTATGTTTAATAATTAAGGTTGTACTCCCTGGAGTCAAGCGTACTGTTTTCATTATTTAAGAGACCAGCCTCAATTTTTAAACTAAAACAAAAAAGTGATTTTAGTCTAAACCTATTAAGCAGGTATACTCTGTAAAAACAGATCATTGCTATATGATAGGATATGTATATTACAGAACTGCAAAATTCAGAACCTGATTATGAATACCTCAAAAATGTCAATGCCAACAATCCACTTTGTAGCTAACACAAAAGGGGATATAATATTCTATTTTAGAAATGTGATCATGAATGAAGGGAAAGTATAAGGTTTCGTGCAAAGCATTCACTGCCTTTGGCATTTCCTTACTTTTAAGGTTCAAAGATGCAATATTAATATTTTATTAGTAATGTGTGTACATTACACACACAGCTTAAACAAACAAAACTGAAACCACTTACCAATTCTGGAAGAGGACAAATATCTCCAGTATTCATATATAGCCCTTCCACCAGAATAAACCTTCGAGTTACACAGGCTTTACGAGGATTCTTCAGAGAAAATGTATGTTTCAGTATGTATGAAGTGTTCAACAACAAAAAATACAAACTTCTATTAAGATAACTATTTGTTTGGGGGGGGTGGGGGGGGACTTTTATATCCTAGTTGGAACTTAGCATTTCTGCTCTTATAACCATATTAAGTGTCTTACAGTTGGCTGACTATTTGGCTTTATTTTTAAAGTTGCCGTATTTAAGATTCTGTGCCATTGTGTAACAAATCAGGGACTGAATACCACCGATTCAGCTAAACTGCACACTTACACTAAGGGAATAATATTCAGGAATGTATATTTTGAGACCAGGTCTCTATCACAGAGAGTAGAAATGCTCCCTTAGCTGTCAACAGCGTTCAGGGTGTACTTCCTCTTTGTCACGAAAAGAGAAGTGGAAACAGCGTAATTTAAAGACTTTAAGGCTTTTCAGCATAAGGTTACCACAGTCAGTTTCAACTCAACAGAATCCTGTTACAAGGGCTCTTTTATAACATACCTCAAATATATTCTTATAGATTATAAGGCCAGAAGGGACCACTGTGATCATCTAGTCTGACGTCCTGAGTAATAAGGGCCCTAGGACTTCCCTGAATTAGTTCCTGTTTGAACGCTCTCTTTTAGAAAGACATCCATTCTTGATTTACAAATTTCCAGTGATGGAAGAATCCATCACAACACTCAGTAAATTGCTCCAATGGTAGATATATCCTCACTGTTATTAATATACACCTTACGTCGAGACTGGATTTGTATACCTTTACCTGCCAGATTGAAGAGCCCTCTTATCAAAATTCTGTTCCCTATGTAGGTACAGTAAAAGCGGTGTTATCCGGCTCTGTACCAAGTGGAAAGCTCTATAAACCAGCATTTCTAATCTCCATAGAAAGTCCGGTTTATAGTTCGGTTGGTGCGGAGCCAGCAGGCTCCCTACCTGGCTCCCTGGCTTCATGTGGCTCCCAGAAGGCGACATGTCCCTCCTGCTCTTAGGCAGAGGAATGGCCATGAGGGGTTTGGAGTGCAGGAGGGAGTGTGGGGCGTGGGCTCAGGGAAGGGAGTTGGGGCGTGAGAGGGGTTTCAGGGCGTCAGATCTGGGGGGGCACTTACCTTGGATGGCTCCCCACAAGCAGCGACATGTCCCAACTGCTCCTAGGTGGAGGCGCAGCAGCACGCAGAGTTGCCTGCCGTGCCTCCGCCTAGGAACAGAAGGACAGGTTGCTGCTTGCCGGGAGCCGCATGAGGTGAGTACCCCCTAGATCTGGCACCTCACATCCCCTCCCACTCCCCAACCCCCTGCCCAGAGCCCCCTCCCACACCTAAACTCCCTCCCAGAGCCCACGCCCCACACCCTCTCCCGTGCCCCAACCCCCAGCCCCACACCCAAACTCCCTCCCAGAGACTGTGCCCCGCACCCAAACTCCCTCCCTCTTAGTTAACCGGCATTCTTCACTTACCAGGATTCCCCATTTCCCCAACATGCGAGATAAAAAAAGCTTTTACTGTACTTATAGACCGATCAAGTTACCCCTTAAATTTCTCTTTGACAAGCTAAACAGATCAAGCTCCTTGAGTCTTGCCTATAAAGGCATGTTTTCCAATTCTTTAATCATTTTCCTGGCCCTTTTCTGAATCCTTTCCAATTTATCCACATGCTTCTAGAAGTGTGTACATCAGAACCAGACAGTATTCCAGCAGTGGTCACACCAGTGCCAAAAGCAGAGGCTACATATCCTCTTTACTCCTACTCATGATTCCCCTGTTTATACATCCAAGGTTTGCATTAGCCCTTTTGGCCACAGCATCACATTGGAAACTAACATTTAGCTGATTATCCACAAGGACCCTCAAGTCTTTTCAGCGTCACTGCTTCTCAGGATAGAATCACTCATCCTAGAAACATGGCCTGCACTCTTTTTTCCTAGATGTAGGATGTTCTATTTGGCTGTATTGAACAGGGCCGGCTCTAACTTTTTTGGTGCCCCAAGCAGCAAAAAAAAGCGCCGCCCCCGAGCCCCCCCAGCCGAGCGCCCCCCCCCCCCGCGCCGCCCCGCCGGGCCGCCCCCCTCCCCCGCTGAGCGCCCCCCCGCCGGCACCCCCCCCCCCCCGAGTGCCGCGCCCCGCCCCCCCGCCAAGCGCCGGAGCGCCCCCGCGGAATGCCAAGCCGCGCTGCCCCCCGCCACCCTAAGATTGGCCGCCCCTTACCAGGTGCCGCCCCAAGCATGTGCTTGGTTGCCTGGAGCCGGCCCTGGTATTGAAACACACAGTTTGCTTGGGTCCAGCTTACTAAGTGATCCATGTTGCCTCTGTATCAATGACCTGTCCTCTTCATTATTTACTACTCCCCCAATCTAGGTATCATCCGCAAACTTTATCACTCAAAGCTATATTTTCTTCCAGATTATTGATAAAAACGTTACATAGCATAGGGCCAAGAACTGATCCTTGTGGGACCTGACATATTTACTCAATGATTTCCCATTTACAGTTACATGTTGACACCTATCAGCCATTTTTAAATCAATTGTGTGTGCCATGTAAATTTTGCATTTTTCTAGTTTCTTAATCAAAATGTCATGCATCCCAAGTCAAATACAGAAGCTTTAGATTATTATATCAACACTATTTCCTCTATCAACTAAACTTGTAACCTCAAAAAAGGTTAAAAGATTTTTCCATAAACCCATATTGATAATAATTAATTGCCGTATATACACTCGATCATAAACTGGTTCGTTTATAAGCCGATCCCCCAAGATGGATAAGTAAAATGGAAAATTGTTATGACCCATTCATAAGCCGACCCTATAATTCAGGGGTCAGCAAAGTTTGGCTTCAAGGCCAGCAGGATAAGCCGGTGGTGGGCCGAGATGGTTTGTTTACCTTGAGCGTCCGCAGGCATGGAGGTAAACTTAAGTAAACAAAGTGTCCCGGCGCGCCAGCTGCTTATCCTGATGGTCTGGGACAGCAACTGGTGGGGAAATTTTGGGGGGGGGCAGAAACTGGGGGTCAGGGGGTAACCCATGTGACCACCCCCATGACCCCATCCTTAGCCTGGGACCCCCACATTCTCCCCATCCCATCCCTTCCCACCTTATCTGGGGAGGGCCAGGAGAGGATGTCTCTGGCCTGGCTGGAGCTGCTCCGGCAGGCTGGGCAGCATGGCCACAGCCTGCTCTGGGGGGCGGGGCCGAGAAGCATGGCCACAGCCTGCCAGCCCCGGAGCTGCAGCTGCTTTGGAGGCTGGGGGGAGAGCAGCGTGGCCAGAAGCGGAGAGAGACTGGCACCACCTCTTCCCTTCTGGCTCTGCTGGCCCGGGGGGAGAGGCTGTGTCCCACCTCTCCCTCTCTATACCCGTTCATAAGCCGACCCCCTTCTCTGGTGCTTCCCTTTTGTACTAAAAAAATTCAGCTTATGAACGAGTATATACGGTATATTACTCTCCTTTAATTCTTCGGGATCAAACAGACGGACTGGCCTATAATTACCCAAGTCTTCCTGTTTACCCTTTAATATTGGCACATTAACTTTCTTCCAGACTTCCGGAATGTCATCAGTATTCCAAGACTTATTAAACAAAACAAAAAAACCAGCCCCAACATCAACAGTCTAAAGAGCTCTTTGGCCAGTTCTTTTAAAACTCTCAGATGAAAGTTAACTGGACCTGCTGATTTACAGAGGTCTAGCTTTAGCAGTTGCTGTTTAATGTCCTCCCAAGTTACTGCTAGAATGGAAGTATATCATCATCATATTTGGCTCCAATGATAGTTTTTATAAAGAGGGAATATGTGAAGAGTACATGAGGAGACTCATCTCACCTCTTCTATAGTTTTCTGGTCTATACTTATTTATTTATAAAGTTAGGGCTGTTCTAACAGTTTTGGTACAGATTTACTTATAGCGGTTTAGAAACTGATAGTTAATCAGTGTCACCCCTAGGATGGGGGCAGTTACACAGATTTCAAAATAAGTGTATAGGTACAAAAAACTGTGTTTAAATCACAAGCCCTTAGTGACCACCTCCATCACCTACTCTTGACAATGACAATACAATTATGGCAAGCGAACAAAGCAGCCAAATCCAGTTTAACTATATAAGCAAAATTAAGCATTCAGCAGTGATTTATATAAAACAACAACAGACTACGAGTACTGGATCTATTCAAATATACAACCTACTTAAGAAGGGCAAAAGACTACAAAGAAATTTTACCTTTTGATCTTCAATCTCTTGTTCTTTCAGAAGTTGCTCAAGGTCAGCCATATCATTATGTTTAAATAACTTAATGTTACTTCGCGATGCCTGTAATCCTTTCTGAATAGCAAAGCAGGCAGCTTCATCTCTATAAACACAAAATATTCTTTCATTTTGCGCTTGGTTTGTTAATCAATTTTAAATAACAGCATAGGTCAGTTACCTTTTTAGGCCTGCTTTGCTTTTAAACTGCCTTGTATACTTATCTGTGTATAAATAAAATCTATGTTTTATTACACACAATTTTAAATAATTTAAAATTGGTTTCTAACACCTGTTACCCTCTGCGGCTATGTGGAGACATCTTTACACTTTAATCGTGAAATGTACAATTTAGAGTTTTTCTCTAAAGCAAGGACCAGTGCACAGAAGTCATACTAAAGTATTTTCTGGTGTCCAAAATACACTGAACTGTTCATATGAAACCACTACAAATATATGTAATTAACTATTTTCATTGAGAAGCCATTTTACTGTCTTTGCATCTAGGATGACTATCAGGCTTATTCTGTGGTTACCTATTTTTCATTGTGGCAGTTAAGGCCGACATAATTCCCGGGCCGAGACCAACATTCCATAAATAGGGGTATTATACTCCTACAATTACCCATTGGTTCTTCTCTTTCTACCTGCCTCAGTTTTAAAGTACAGCAAGTCTGAGAATGTGCTTGACCGCTCTTACCAGTCTTAAGAGTACTCATACTCATTCTTCCTCTTTTATTCCACTTCATGGTGAGCATCTGTCCCAGCTTTCCAGGCCTGATAAGCCATTTCTTCAGACTTAAAGATGCATATGTAATTTCCCCCCCACTAAATTACGTTTTTTGGTAATTTCTTAATTGGATATACTCAGAATTCCTTTTGAAGTTGCAAATCCCTCCTTCTGCACATACTGAACAACAGTAATTTAATTTTCAAACATCAAATCTCTAACATGATGCCATGATACACCTTTTTTGTCAGTGATAAATACGGTGTGCTACTGAAGCAGAGACTCTTAGGGTACATTTACACTTAAGGCAACATGCAAGGTACAGACACCACATGCCCAGGTAGCATGAGTATAAACAGCAATGTAGATGGTGAGACACAGCTTAGGCAAGTAGGGTGCCCTACATGCCTGAAGCCTTAGGCCATATGTCCTACATTGGCTCTCTACATGCCCAAGCAGTGCCTCTCCCTTGCCAGAGCCTTTCCTGGCTGCAGTGAAAGGCTCTGGCAGCTCTGCAGCACGTAGCTACATGCTGCAGTGACAAACAGGGATGCAGCCTGACTCTCACTGCAGCGTGTAGCTACACATATGGTGCCCATACTTTATACACCACAGTAAGTGTAGATATAGCCTTACTGCAAAAAACTAAAAATACAAGTGTACAGGTAATAAATATGCTGAATTCAGCATATCAAGCTTAAAATATTCTGGCCACTCAATGCAGTACATTTTAATTTGCTTTAATTTAAAATGTGAATACACAAACTGCAGCTCTTACTAAAAAGTCAAGAGAAACAGGTTAGAGAATGCAGCCTTAACCTGCTATTTATTGCATGGGTATATGTTCTCGCAGAAAATAATCTAACTTAAACACAGCCTATTTTCTCATCACAAGTGGGATACATTTCTTTGGAGGAAAGAGGTTAAGTCTGAAGCTTTTCTGTTTATCCAGCAGAACCTTTCTATTGTAGCTTTGTGGTTGCAGAAGCATTTTGCATGATAGGAGAGGCAAGATTTACTAACTCCCAAAGAAAGCATTCAGCTAGTAAGCACTCTTTCTTCATTAACTTTGAAGTGTTTTGTTTTGTTATTTTAGAGACATTTGATACCAATTTTGTCAACTGCTCTCCATACTATTGCAATAATTGCTTGTCAGATTGTCATCAACTCATTTTTATTGACAGTGTGAGTGAGGTAATTTGAGAGTAACCATAAGTTGCCAACAGTACTTAATACAATAACTTCCAAAGATTTCTATAAACTAGTTATTTTTGCCCATAACAAGAACAAATGTTATCACTTACAAGCTTAGACTCTCTACACATCAACTTAATGCATTTTTAAGCATGCTAGAATCACATATATAGTACATTTGGGTCCTGATTTCTTATCAGATGCAGTTAGCTCTATAACTAAAGTTTCAAATTTTTTGCAACATACCAGGTTTAAAGATTTAGGTTTTCTAGACGATCTAGATATTTTTCTTCCTTTAAGCACTGTGTGCAAACCACTATGCATCAGGCATCACTGCTTCAAAGCAAAGCAATGTTTAAAAAGCATACCGGAGTCTAAAGCACTGTTTTAAAATAGTTTACTTAGTAAATGGGGACCAGACATAACTATGCAAACTATGTTAATAGTTGAACGTTTTCTATTAAGATAGTAATTCCAATGTTGACTGGGCCAGTATTAGAGAAAAATAGTAAGACTGCTACCCTATTTTAAAGGGAGCCAGATTTGGATACCATAGAGAATATTCATTTACTCAGCACAGGCCCAAACCAATAAGATTCCACGTCACCCCAAATATATCGTCTTCCTAAATGCATAAATTTATATGCAACTCCCATTAACAATAAAGGGAGTTTCTCACAGACAAAAAGTGATCATACCTCATGGTATGTAACATGTCCTGGCCCAATCTTAATATTCTTACAGCACTTTAAAAATGGTACAAATACTATTTACAGGTATTTTTATATTTTAGCACAAAATAGATTACAGTGCCCAGTGCTAGTCTTCAAAATAAGTGTGTAAAAATGGCACCTTAATTATTATAGCCATTCCTTGTGAGTATAAAATTGTTGGCTAACATTAACAACAGTTTATTCCTGTACGCCTGGTGGAGCTAATACAACTAGAAGGGAGTGAGAGTATTCTTTTCCCTTTCACATTGATACAACTGTTCATTAAGTTGTAATTTACTGATATCAGAAGGCATAATCAAATGATTATACACATATAGGTTATATGTGTATAACTGAGGGCACAATTTGTCCTGCAGAAACTTTTGATCTTGTGCAAGAAAAAACCCAACTTGACTTGCAGATCCTAGGCTGACTTTGCAGGACTGGCAGTTAAAACAGGGTTGCCAAGTGTCCAGTTTTCGACCAGAACGCCGGGTTGAAAAGGGACCCTGGCAGCTCCGGTCAGCACAGGACCGGCCCACTAAAAGACCCATTGGAGCCCCCACCCAATGCCCCAGCCCAGAACCCCCTCCCACCCTGAACCCCTCAGCCCCAGCCCAGAGCCACTTCCTGCACCTCAAGCCCCTCATCCCTGGCCCCACCCCAGGGCCTGCATCCCCAGCCGGAGCCCTCACCCCCTCCCACACCCCAACCCCCTGATCCAGCCTAGTGAAAATGAGCAAATGAGCGAGGGTGGGGAAGAGCAAGTGACGGAGGTAGGTGGGGATGGAGTGGGCAGGGCCTCAGGGAAGGGACAGGGCAAGGGTGCTCGGTTTTCTGCAATTAGAAAGTTGGCAACCCTAAGTTAAAAGTAAAAGTTGTTTTTTCTGAAGTTGAATATGTTTTAGGTGGAAATTAAGATAGACAATTAGGCATGGAACTGGTTACTTTTAAAAAGTGTGTCAGTCGATTTTTAGAGTAGAACTAATTTTTGAAGTTAAAATTGAAGCTGATTTTGTTTTAGAAGATAAAGACTGCAAACGCCTTGAGATTTTACAGAGAAATAAGATGAGTACATTACATCACACCCCACAATGGTGATCTGCAAATAATTTTGTAAGTTTCTATCAGAAGTGTAGTTTGTGGTACAACCCTCTTACTTTCCTTTTTTTTTTTTTTTTTTTTTGGGTAAAAAGTGATTGCCATATAGGTAAGTGTAGCTCGAAATGTCACAGGGTAACCAGAAGGCAGTAGAAATATTTCTGAAAATGATTTTAATTTTATTTTTATTTAATATTCAAGTCTCTTCAGAATGAGTTCAGTACCTCACAGAAGCTTGCCCTCAAGCTCTAGCTGCTCCATTCAATCTTGCTTATGATTAAAATTCTTACTATGTCACAGTGTTAGTTCTTTCAAAGATAATATTAGTCTTATGATATTTTTGGCATGACAGAGCATATCTAAGTATAAAGTGACCTATAGCCCCACTAGCTCAGAGAGCAAGTACCTCGGAGTTCTCACCTTCCATAGACAATTCAGGATTTAGACTAGCATGAGTGCTGTCAGATTTAAATTGTCAATCTGGGCTGGCCTCTCTCCCCTGACCCTTCTAACAGTTACGAAGGCATCAGTGCCCTGCAGGCAAGACAGAAAAGCCTGCCCATCTCAAATTAGCTGCCAACAACACTGCACAATGTCTGATACAGAAAATTAACCACTGTACCCTTGCTATTCCTTGCATACAAGGGGACTAGTTTTTCCCTCCTTAGGTGGCAATTACTGCCAAAGTCTGATTTTCTTGGGTAACAGCAACAACTGAAAGCTAGCACATTTGGTCTGAAGAACAAATCAGAAGAGATAGGAGTTTTAGGCCCATTGATCAGCTTACATGTTAAATATAATTATACAAACAAGGTTAAATTGCTCTAAAAATGGTTTTATAAAAGTTTTCCTTTTATTCTTATGACATTACACTTTTTCATTTTAATCCAATCTGACTTTCAACCTACTGATCAAGCTTAAGCCATTTCATGACAACTTCTATTCATTGTAGATATTCAACTTTAGAAAATATGTCCCAGATTCTCCTCTCCGTTCAGGCTGCTTTGCAGTGTGCAGCTGACAAGAAGTGGCTCTCCTGAAGTTGGTTATGCCATATTTAGGATCATCTCAGTGGGGCACAAGACCGTGTCTAGTGGCACAGAGTTGGTTTACGGCTTCCCCACCACAACCCATTGAGTTCACCAGTAGGTGATGCAAGTTAAAGTGAGTTTCAAAATATTCTAATTTAAGCCACGGGAATTACCTAATACACAGCCAACACAAATAGCCATCTTTGCACCCCTCCTCCTAAACTGCACTGTATGCTCCTCAGGCACAACTGAACATTAAATGTACAAATCTATGTGGAGATGCAGTTATCTGGCTAGAGAATATCAGACTTTTGAACACACACAATCAAGGAGTTCTTCAGGATCCGAGTAATATTCTAACCCCTCCCCCGAAATTTTACTCTGGGATCTCTGAAAGGTAAGTGTTACTTACACAAACACTATGTCCCCTCGCTTTGAATATGCTGGAATAGCACTGGCAATTGTGGCAAATCCATATGAGTATATAATAGATTCCTCTGTCCTCATAAATTTTGCTAGTCGATCTTCCAATTCCAAGTGTACATCTGAGAAAAAAAAATTAAAAATCCTTAGGCAAGTTTAATTGTTCTGCTTTTATTGCAGAATGGCTTAACAGTTTGTACTCAGAAATTAACACAGCCATGTACTGAAACAGGAATTTGCTAAGGAAGAGTGGGGCCTCATCAGCTGTTACCTGTGGTAACAGTGTCACAGAAAATGAATCACTAAACACCAAAGCTGATGCATCCATCCTTGATGGGCACTGAGTGGTGTTTGTCAAATCCAAGCATCAGAAGTTCTAATAGTTGCCAAACCATATGCATATTTGTAAAACTAATATGCTTGTGTATTCAGAACAGCGGTGAGAATTTCCTTACATTTAGACTAAGTACCTTAGGGCAGGGACTGTCTTTTTGTTCTGTTTGTATAGTGCCTAGTGCAATGAGGCCCTGGTCCATGACTGGAGTTCCTAGCTGCTACTGCAGTGCAAACAGTAACAAGCAATGCAATTTCCAGCAATTAACTAAATCCTGGCTGGCTGAACTTCTGTCCATCCTAACTCAGAAAATCAACACAACCCAATATAATTGCCCAACACAGCATTGAAGCTCATGCCTTATTGCTTTGTTTTCATATGAACTGAGAAGAAGCGAAAAAAGGTAGACCATTCAGTAGTCTACAAACATTCTACTGCCCCAAGACTGATGTCTCTGTTATGGTATCAACGTTAAAGATGCAGGTTTTCATATTTAGGGGGGGGGGGGCTGGGAACAACACAGGAATTGCAGCAAGACCCTGGATTTGACCCATGATCTCCACATTATGTGAATCAAACATATACCATTCCCCAGAAGTATACTTCTACTAGATTTGTGTGTACATATTACTCTTTGATCCAGATCACGTGGATGAAGGTTATAGTGGGAAGACTTTAGGGTTACCATCCGTCCGGGTTTCCCCGGACATGTCCGGCTTTTTCAGTGTTAAATGGCCGTCCGGGGGGGATTTCTAATTAAGTAGAAATGTCTGGGATTTCCCCCTTCCCCTTGTGCGGCGCGTCTGATTGGACGCCTGGCCTGATTGACAGCTGCTCGCAGCCACTAGGGCCTCTAGCAGCCAGAGTCCCTCCCCCTCCCCCACGGAGCAGGGGGGCTGTGTTTAATTCCACGTGGAGCTCTCGCAGTTCTCCCTCTGCCGGGTGAGCGGGGGGGAGGGGAGCGGGGGGGGAGCAGGGCAGGCGGCGGGGTGTGTGTGTGTGTGTAGAGGCTGCGGGGGGGTGGTGCAGAGGCTGCAGGCTGAGTGGGCAGCAGAGGGCACAGAGGCTGCAGGGG